ATGTTGGATCCCCTGGAACTGGAGTTAAGTGTGGTTGTCAGCTGCCATATGGGTGCTGGAAACTGAACCCGGGTCCCCTGCAAAAGCAGCCAGTGCTCTTAACCACTGAGCTATCTCTCCAGTCCTGATGACTTGACATTTCTTGCAAAACTGCTGTCAGTGTTTTTAACTATCTCATCAATAATCATGTTTAATGTTCAAACTACAAATAAGTATTGATTCCTGTCCAATTTAACTCATGGAGTCATGCTACTGACAAACAGGGATACTTCTATTTTGCTTTGTTTTGGGTAGTTTCTGTTTTTGAGATAGGATATCTTAAGTGTCCAGACTGACCTCAAAATTGACATCCCCCTAGCTCAGTTTCTCAAGTGATGAAGCATGTACCACCACATCCAGCTATCAATATATAGTCAATCTGAATGTCAGATGGTATTTTTATTTGCTTTAATGAGTAAGAAAAGTATATTTTTGGGCTGGAGAGATGGCTCAGTGGTTAAGAGCACTGACTGCTCTTGCAGAAGACCTGGGTTTGATTCCCAGCACCCACATGGCGGCTACGAACCATCCTTAACTCCAGTTCCAGGGGAATCCAACACCCTCTTCTGACCTCCACGGCATTGCACGACACAGATGCACTCACATACACCCCCCCAATACACTCATACACATAAAATAAAAATAATAAATAAAATTAAAAAAAATAAAAGTATATTTCAATGTTATAAACAACTTTGTTGCACTGAATTATAGTTTTCAAATATTGCAAGAATAGTTCCTTGGTTAGTCAGATTTCCCTCACTGTGACAAAATAAATGCCTAAGATAAACAGTGTGAAGAAGGAAAGAGCTCAAAGGTTTGGTTTCAGAGTACTTGGTACATGTGGGTTGGCTGCACTGCCTTGGGCCTATGGAAGCAGAGAACATCATGGTGGTCACACATGGTGGAAGAGGCTATTCGTCTCTGACAGCCAAGAAGCGAAAAGCAAAGAGGAGTCAGGGTCCCACTATCACACTCAAGGAAAATTTCCCCAATAACCTGGCTTCTTTCCCACTAGACTCCACCTACTTAAGGTTCTACCACCTTCCAATAGTTCCAAGCTAAGCATCAAACCATTGACACATGGACAGTTAAAGGATATTCTAGACCCAAACTATAGCAATTAACAACTGGGAGGGGGAGGGCTTGCACAATATGACCTCGTTTTGAGTTTAATTTTCATTAACATTTGCTCTCTCTTTTCCCTCCTCATTATCATTTTCAATATCGATAGACATTAGGTCAAATTTCTTTGCAGAATTTAATAACTTCCAAGGCATAAATAGCCCCATTATGGCTGATTTCAAAGGGCCACCAGGACATCACTGAAGGCAGAGCTGGAAGTAGATATGCAGGGTTAACTCATTACATAGTGTTTCCAAATGGGTGCAATGGGCATAACCTTAAAAGAATAGGCAATGGTAAAATAAAGAAAAACAATTATAAAGTGACCAGTTTTTTATATTTTTATTTATTATTTTTGTTTTATGCATATGAGTATATTGCCTGCATGTATGTAAGTGCATCCATGCCATGCAATGCCAGTAGAGGTCAGAAGAGGGTGTCAGATCCACTGGAACTGGAGTTACAGACTGTTGTTATCTGCCACGTGGGTGCTGGAACTCGAACCTGGGTCTTCTGCAAGAGCAGCCAGTGCTCTTAATCACTGAGCCATCTCTTCATTCCTGAAAGTGAGCAGTTTTGACTTCTTATCATTGCTTTCAATAGAATCTAGTTTAACTTTACATCATTTGATATTCAATAATGAAGGTTATTCTTGTTTGTTTCTCCATTGCTGTGAGAAAACACTCTGACCAATACCAGCTTGGAAAGTAAAGGGTTTACTTGGCTTACATCTCCTGAGTCACAGTTCATCACTCAGCCCAAGATAGAAACTCAGGGCAGGAACCTGGAGGCAGGAGCTAGCGCACAGGCCAGGCAGGAGCTGCTTACTGGTTTGCTCCCCTGAGCCCTGCTCATCCTGCTTTCTTATGCAATACAGGCCCACCTGCACAGGGGCGGCACCACCCACAGTGGAATGGGCCCTCCCACATCATTCAATAATCAAGAAGACACTCCACAGACATGGCCACAGTCCAGTCCAATAGAGGCAATTCCCCCAACTAAGGCTCCTTCAACCCAGGTGTGTCAAGTTGACACTAAAGCTAACCAACACAGATATTTAGTCCATTTCATCAAAGTCCTATAACTTTAACAACTGACTCTTCTCAAGGGGTTGATTCTATCATGCCTTTGGCTGCCCTGCTTTAAAAATTAAAAGTGTGGTTTGCAGAGGCTGTTACTAAATTGTCACATAGGACATGTCATTAAGTTATCTAATTCCAAGCCTCTCCCTTATACTGTGCCTCTTTTTAATATGTGACTACTAATTTACCCACACATCACCTGAACATCCTAGACTGAGTGAATTTACCATTTCTAGCATAGTCTTTGACTCCCTTTCCAATAGGTAAAATGACTAAAGAGAAAGGAATAAACACAAGGAAATCATCTTAACAGTTTTGTTCAGGGTCTGGCAGGATCTTTTCCTCCTGAGACTGGGCCAAGAAAAAGGAACCAGCAACTCTGCAGCAACTCCATTTTGAAGTTTGGAGGTTCCTTTTGCAGTCTTAATTGAAGCATTGATGTCTTTTTAAACTCTCTTATAGGCATCAAATTTTAATATATAAGTCAATTTGGGGGGAGGAAAGAATATCCTCAACAACTTTCCCCCAGAACTATATATA